GTCCATGTGCATAGATCACTGAAAGTTGCCACCCAGGTTGATAGCGTCGTTAAGAAGGCGTACAGTATGTTAGGTTTTATTGGTAGAGGGATTGAGTTTCAGCGCCATGAGGTCATGTTGCAGCTGTACAAAACTCTGGTGCGGCCGCACTTGGAGTATTGCGTACAGTTCTGGTCACCGCATTATAGGAAGGACGTGGAAGCATTGGAAAGGGTGCAGAGGAGATTTACCAGGATGTTGCCTGGTATGGAGGGAAGGTCTTATGAGGAAAGGCTAAGGGTCTTGAGGCTGTTTTCGTTAGAGAGAAGAAGGTTAAGAGGTGACTTGATAGAGACATACAAGATGATCAGAGGATTAGATAGGGTGGACAGTGGAAGCCTTTTTCCTCGGATGGTGATGGCTAGCACGAGGGGACATAGCTTTAAATTGAGGGGTGATAGATATAGGACAGATGTCAGAGGTAGGTTCTTTACTGAGAGAATAGTAAGGGCGTGGAATGCCCTGCCTGCAAAAATAGTAGACTCGCCCACTTTAAGGGCATTTAAATGGTCATTGGATAAACATATGGATGATAATGGAACAGTTTAGGTTAGATGGGCTTCAGATTGGTTTCACAGGTCGGCGCAACATCGAGGGCCGAAGGGCCTGTACTGCGCTGTAATGTTCTATGTTCTATGTTCTCTTCCCTCCTGCAACAGCGATAGGGTACCCCTTATCCTCACCTACCATCCCACCAGCATCCACATCCAGAAGATCATCAGATGCCATTTCCGCCACCTCCAGCAAGATGCCACCACCAGACATATATTCCCCTCCCCTCCCTTGTCTGCCTTCTGCAGGGACCATTCCCTCCGGGACACCCTGGTCCACACTTCCTTCACCCCCAACACCTTCCCACAGCCCTACAGCACCTTCTCCTGTAACCAGCGAAGGTGTAATACCTGCCCATTTACTTCCACCCTCCCCAGTATCCAAGGGCCCAAACATACCTTCCAGGTGAAGCAACACTTCACCTGCACTTCCAAGAATCTAGTCTGCTGCATTCGCTGCTCACAATATGGTCTCCTCTACATTGGGGAAATGAAGCGTAGACTTGGCGACTGCTTCACAGAACATCTACGTTCTGCTCGCAAAAAAGATCCTGAACTACCCGTTGCCTGCCACTTCAATGCCCCACCCTGCTCACTGGCCAACATCTCTGTCTCCGGCTTGCTATAGTGTTCCAGTGAAGCCCAGCGCAAGCTGGAGGAACAACATTTTCCGCTTGGGGACCCTACAACCCTACGGACTCAATATTGAGTTCAATAATTTTAGGGCCTAAACTCTCCCATGTCCCAGACCCCACCCCAAACGCCAGGCCTTGTTATCACATAGCCTGCCATTACACACCCCTGTTGTTAGTCACTAACAGTCCCCATTAACAACTATTCACCCTCCCAGCCTGATCATTAGCAACTCCTTTGTCTGTCCAACTGTCTTTCTCTCTCTTTGGGCTCTATCCTATCGTTTCCTCCCTACCCCACCCACCTCCCTATTTTCTGCATATAAACTGACGTTTTCCCAGCCACCATCAGTTCTGAGGAAGGGTCACCGGACCCGAAACATTAACTGTGTTTTCTCCTCCACAGATGCTGCCAGACCTGCTGAGCTTTTCCAGCAACTTTGTTTTTGTTCTTGTTCCAGGTTCAATGATGGGTTTGACTGGGTGGGAGTTGAATTCTAGCCCTGATAGGAAAAGGAAGGAACTGGGAATGCCCAGACCCCAGTTGGAAGTTTGAGTTGGGAATCACAGAGATTAGCAGACCAAACTTCGAGGCTGAAGACAGTTGACGGAGACTGCAACTACATTGGTCGACCTAAAAGGTGATGATGTGGCTTCTTGACCCCACGATTTCCACCACTGCATAGACGACTGAATACCACAGTGCAAAAGCCTCCAAGAAGCAAATTAGATTCTGAAAGGTCCCCATAAGCAGTCACTACCATCTCCTCCACTCGGCAATGAGGTGACACTCCCTTCAACCCCACAAAAAAAGGAAGTCAGAGGGTATCCTTCTGATCCTAGCCAAGAGGTACATCTCGGCACTGTAAGATTCATTCAGAATGGTGAGGGCAGTATTAGATGGAGTGATATTATTCGGACACTCTGCACTCTTACCCATGTCTGTAACACAACCTTTTCAACTTCAACTCTGAGCAGTTCAGTTGAGCCAGTCCAATTAGGATCCCTGCTAAGGTACCCTGTAAGATAGAAATATGGAGATAAGAGCTTTGTGGACTTCGTGATCAGGCTGCATTGAACCCAAAAGAACATTTTCGTAAGTCCTTGACCAGGAATGAGTTTTCTCCAGTGACTACAGCTAAAGTTCACATTCATCTGCTTCAATGATCAGGGCATGATGTACAAGATATCTGCTTCCAGCTTTATACTGATCAGAAAATTAAACTAAACAAATAGCGAATTCAGGGTTAGATTGATTCATTTTGGTAGAACAATGAGGAGGGGTAATACAATAAAGAACACAGATCCAAATGTTGGTGGGGGGGGGGGGGGGGGGGGGGGGGGCGGGGAGAGACCTGAGGTCTATATGTACAAATTGTTCAAGGTGGCAGGGTAGATTGTGACTGTGGTTAATAAGTCAAAACGGGATCCTGGGCTGGATAGACAGAGGAAGACTGGATAAAGGCACCAAATTATAGTGAACCCTTACAATACAGATTCAGCCTTGACTGGAGTATTATGTACAATTCTGAGCATCACATTTCAGGAAGGATGTGAAGGCATTAGCAAGTATGTACAACAATTAACAAGCATGGTTCCAGGGACAAGTAGCTTCAGTTAAATAGACAGAATGAAAAAGCTGGAAATGTTCTCCTTAAAGAGAAGGCTGAGAAGACATTTCATAGAATCCCTAGTGTGGAAACAGGCCCTTCAGCCCAACAAGTCCACACTTACCCTCAGAGCATCCCATCCAGACCCATCCCCCTAAAATCCACCTAACCTACACATTCCTGAACAATTATGGGCAATTTAGCATGGCGAATCCTAGCCTGTACATCTTTGGATGGTGGGAGGAAACCGGAGCACCCGGAGGAAACCCACGCAGACACGGGGAGAATGTGCCAGCAAGGGTGGTATTGAACCTGGGTCCCTGGCGCTGTGCGGCAGCAGTGCTAACATGAGGAAATTTTCTTTTCATGCAGCAAGTGGTTAGGATCTGGAATACACTGCCCGACTGTGATTGAGGAAGATTTAATCTTAGGTTTCAAAAGAGGATTTGATAATTATCTGAATATTTTCCAGGCCTATAGGGAAAAGACAAGGCAGCGTACTCTCTTAGAGACCCTGCAGGGATACGATGGACTCCTTCTGTGCTCTAACCATTCTGTGATTCTACGTCCTTGCTCTAACTCACTCTTTCCCATGTGCAACTGTTCACTTGTTTAATCAGCTCAGCAGGTTGCATCCTAACGGGATTGAAAGTTGTGAATTTAAGCCCCATTTCAAAGTCTTTAGCCTGGAAACTCAGGTGATATTCATCCCAGTACTGAGATGCTGTATCACTGGAGGTGCCATGCACTAAATGAAACTAGGTGCACTCTACTTCCTCAGGTGGATTTTTTTTCTTTATTCATTCATGGGATGAGGGTGTCGCTGGCTAGGCAGCATTTATTGCCCATCCCTAATTGCCCAAAGGGCAGTTAAGAGTCAACCATATTGGGTCTTGAATCACATGTAGGCGAGACCAGGTAAGGGCATTGGTGAACCAGATTGGTTTTTCTGACAATTGACAATGGATTCACAGTTGCCATTAGGTTCTTAATTCCAGATATTTATTGAATTCAAATTCCACCATCTGCTGTGGCAGGATTTGAACCCAGGTTCCCTAGAACGTTATCTAGGTCTCCGGATTAACAGTCCAACGATAATACCACTAGGCCATCGCCTCCCCTGATATAAACTTCAGCATCTCAAAAGACAAGCAAGAGGGTTCTCCCCAGTCAATATCTATTCCTCAACAAACATCAGTAAAAACATATCATCTGGTTATTTATCTCACTGTAATTTGTGGTGGAGCTTGCTGTGTGCAAATTGACAACCACATTTCCCAGACTAGAACACCATATATTTTTGAAAGATATTTCACTGGCTTTGCAATATCCCGAGATCAGGGAAGGTGTTATACTGAATACTGTTTACCCCCTCAAGCCTGCTCTCTCATTCAATGAAACAAAGGTTGATCTACATCACAGAAGTGTTATAGCAGAGGAGATGGTCATTTGGCCTACACTAGCTCATTAACTAGCATCATTATCCAGTGTAAATCTCCTGTTTTCTCCCCATAACTTTCGAAAGTATGACACAGAATCCCTATAGTAGGGGAGCTGGCCTTTCGGCCCATCAAGCCCACACTGACCCTCCGAAGAGCATTCCACCCAGATCCGCTCCCCTACCCTTTTCCTTGTAACCTTGCATTTCCTATGGCTAACACACCTAGCCTGCACATTGCTGAACACTATGGGCAATTCTATATGCACATCTTTGGACAATAGGAGGAAACCCACACAAATACGGCAGAACGTGCAAACTCTACACAGACAGTCGCCCAAGGCTGGAATCGAACCTGGGTCCCTGGCGCTGTGAGGCAGTAGTGCTAACCAACTGAGCCACCGTGTCGCCCATCTTTTGCACTATTGACACCTAAAAGGACGGATAACGGCTGGAAAGGCATGTGGTCTCTATTTGCTTTTGGGAGCAGAGGGGGAGGAGTTGTCTTCACCTGGAGCTACCATGGTGGTGACATCAGATCTTCAACTGTAGATGTACTTCCCCACTGAGTAATACAAATTAGAAACACCGAATAATCTCAAATATAATAGATGAGACTGAACTACAATTGTTCCATATTTGTTCAACAAATGAATTCTACCATACAAACATAGCACAAACTAAACATTAATCCCAAATTCTCTCAACTTACTTGATCCATGGACATGTGCTTGCCATGATAATCCAGTCGGATTGGCACCTCTGACGTGAAGCGAAATTCCCTGGAATGAAAATGGAATTCACTGTCAGCAAATACAGTTGAGGCCTTTTGAAAACAGACGGCCAAGCCACATGCTCAATTTCAGTTAAGAAGAGTAAGGGTTGATTTGGTTGAAACATTTGAAATCCTGACGAGTCTTGACAAGGTAAATATAGAGAGGAAGTTTCCTCTTTGGGGGAAACTAGAATTAGAGGCCATTATTCAGGGTTTGCCCATTTCATAGAGATGAGGAAAAAGTCTCTTGGAACGCTCTTCTCAAAAGGTGGTGGAAGCAGAGTCCTTGAATATTTGTAAGGCCGAGTTCGATAGATTCTTGTTAAGCAAAGAAGTGAAAGGTTATCAGGGATAGGTGTAAATGTTATTTTGAAGTTACAATTAGGTCAGCCACTATTTATTGAATGGCAGAGTGGGTTCAAGGAGCGGAATAGCCTACTCCTGCTCTGAATGCGTATGCTTACTAATTAACGTTCACACACACAAGCACGCAAACAATTTACTATGATGACTAAAATGTATCTCTCCACAGGGTTGTTTAATTGAAAGACAAGCACACAACCAGAACGGCTCTGCTGAAGACCACCAGCAGGTCACCCTTAGACTGTCCTTCTCTAAAGAGCCCAAGCAAAAGACTATAAGGTGAAGGAGCAGACGTAGACGATTAGGACGAGTGAGTCTACTCCAAGATTCAATGAGCTCATGGCTGATGTGAAATCCTCAACTCTACTTTCCTGTCTTTTTCACATAGCTCTCGATTCCCTTCATGATTAAGGATCTATCTTTCTCAGCCGTGAATATATTTAAATGATCCATCCTTGACAGCTGTTGTGGTAAAGGATTCAACAAATTCGCTACTCTCCGTGGGAAGAAATTCTCATCTTTGTCTTAAAGTGCAACCCTTTACTTCAGAATTATGTTCTCTGGTCCCAGATACTTCCACAAGGGGAAAACAACCTCTCAGCACCGAACCTGTCAAATCCCCTAAGAATCTTCAATATGGTCTTTTATCTTTCAATAAGGTCACCCCCATTTTTCCGAGCCTCAATAAGTACAGGCCTAATCTACTCAACCATTCTTCATTAGACAAATCCTCTATACCTGGGATCAACTTAGTGAACCTTCTCTGGACTGCCTCTAATGCTATTATATCTTTCCTTCGATAAGGGACACAAACTTTTGACAGTATTCCAGCTGTGGTCTGACTAGTGCCTTGTATAGTTCTAGCAAGACTTCCCTATTTTTATACTCTATACCCTTTGAAATAAAGGTCAATAAAGATTGGTTTCACAGGTCAGTGCAACATCGAGGGCAGAAGGGCCTGTACTGCGCTGTAATGTTCTATGTTCAACATTCCATTTGCCTTCGCTGTTACCCAATGAACTCGGATGCTAGCTTTTTGTAATTCATGGAAGAGGACTCCCAAATCCCTCTGTGCTGAGCTTTCTGAAGTCTATCTCTACTTAAAGAATATCAGCTCCTCCATTCTTCCTGCCAAACTGCATTACCTTGCATTTCCCCATATTATATTTAATCCTCCCAAGTTTTTGCTCACTCACCTTAACCTGTCTAAATCTTCTGCAAACGCACTCTGTTACCCTCAATATCTGCCTTCTCACCTTTGTTTCTGTCATCTGCAAACCTGGCAATAGTACGTTAATGTTCCTCATCAAAATCATTATATATATTGTAAATAACTGTGGCCCAAGCACAAATCTCATCCTGAAAATGACCCCCTTATTCAAACTCTCTGCCTTCCATTAGTTAGCCTTGTGAATTATTTCTTGTATCCAGTGCCTCAATATAATTTTTGTAATATACTGGCCAGAATTATTCACAGTATACAAGGTGTAGCCTCTAAGTAAGATTCTATACCAGTCTAACATAAGGTCTCTGCTTCATAATTCTCCTTCTCTAGAAATGAGCAGGCAGAGCCAAGTTAATGAACACAGCAGGACTGAAATGTATTTATGTTAATACAAAGAATACAACAGGTAAGGCAAATGAACTTAGAATCTGGATTAGTACATAGGACAATGATATTACAACTATTACAGAAACTTAGCTGAGAGAAGGGCAGGACTGGCAGTTCAAGGTTCCAGGGTTTAGATGTTTCAGGCAAGAGAGAGAGGGATGTAGAAGAGTTGCAGGGAGTTGCATTATTGATTAAGGAGAATGTCACAGTTGTACTAAAAGAGGACATCTCAGAGGGCTAATACAGCAAGGCCAGAGGATAGAACTTAGAAATAAGATTCTTAGGGACAGGATTTACTTGCCTTTGGAGAAGAATGGACTTATTAAGGATAGTCAGCGTGGCTTCATGTGAGGGAAGTCTCGTCTCACAGACTTGTTTTAATTTTTTGAGGAAGTATCAATGATGACTGATGAGGATAGGGATGTCAAAAGGGATGTAGTCTACATGGACTTTATTAAAGCATTTGACATAGTCCCTCACGGTCGGCTGATCCAGAAGATTACATCATATCAGATCCATGGTGATTTGGCAGGTTAGATACAAAATTCACTTGGTCATAGAAGACAAAGGATAGTGGTGGAGGGGTGCTGTTTCTGACTGGAGGTCTGTGTCCAGTGGTGTTCAACAAGGATCAGTACTGGGACCTCTGCTGTTTGTAATGTATATATAAATGATTTGGATGAAAATGTCGGTGGTCTGATTAATAAGTCTGCAGATGACAAAATTTGGAGTTGTAGATAGTGAGGATGGTTATCAAAGGATACAGCAGGATATGGACCACTTAGAAAGTTGGGTGAAGAAACAGCAGATGAAGTTTAATCCAGACAAGTGTGAGATGATACATTTTAGCAGGTTAAATTCAAGAGTAAAACATACAGTAAAATTATAGGATCCTTGGAAGCATTGATATACAGAGGAATCTTGGAATTTAAGTTAATAGCTCCCTAAAAGTGGCAACAAGACAGGATAAGGTGATAAATAAGGCATACAGCATACTTGCCTTCATTAGTTGGAGCACTAAGTATAAAAGTTGGCAAGTCATGTTACAGCTGTATGAGACTTAAGTTAGGCCACATTTGGAGTAGTGTGCACAGTTCTGGTCATCACACTATTATAGGAAGGATGTGGAGGCTTTGGGGAGGGTGCAAAAGCTGTTTACCAGGACGTTGCCTGGATTGGAGTATATTAGCTATAAGGAGAGGTTAGACAAACATGGATTGTTTTTGCTAGAGCGTCAGAGACTGAGGGGCGACCTGATAGAAATATATAAAATTATGACAGGCATGGATAGGATGGATGGTCGGAGTCTTTCTCCTAGGGTGGAAATGTCAAATAATAGGGGACATGGGTTTAAGCTGCAAGGATTGTGTGAGGTAAGTTTTTTTTTTTAATATAGACGGTGGTAGATGCCTGGAACGTGCCGCCAAAGGAGGTGGTAGAAGCACAGACGATAGCAATGTTTAAGAGGCACTCAGATAGGATTATTTTGGCATGGCATCATGGTTGGCACAGACATGGTAGGCCAAAAGGGCCTGTACAGTTCTATGTTCTATTGCTTGGCTTGGTTTTTCTTACAGCTTAGTACTCAAATAATAAGAGTATCAGAAATGCTTGACACCACCCCGTTGCGAGGCTTACCGGAAGAAGATTGGCTGGTCCCCGAATGGCACTGAGACACCCTCTGGCTCACTGACTGGCACTCTGCTCGCAGCAGTCAAAGGATCCAGCCTGTGTTTGCTGTGACCTGGTACAGTAATAATGGGTCCATGGTCTGTAGCACTGGTTCCATTTTTGGAAAGGCTACTGCTGATGTCTGTTCCAGGAGTTTTTCTCACTGGGGACAAGAGATACAGAAAATGTAATTCATGCAGTAATGGTAACACAAGCTGCTTTCCTATATCTCAAGTAAGTGAATCTCAAATAATGTCCCTAAACTTCATGGGGAATAAACATGACAAGCAGCCAAGAAAATATGGATACAGATCTGTTCCCACCAATTGCTTTTTATTTTGCTTCTTTTTCTATCCAATACTCAGCAATCAGAAGAGGAAGATTTCTTACCACCATCAACCTCTGCTTCACCAACTTTTGCCCCACGTTCAACCCAAACAGCATTGACAGGGACTTATCGTTTTCTGACTGTGTTCAGCTTAAAAAAAAATTCTCTCTCAAATATAGGGCTCAGCCTCACACAGAATCCTTTTAAAAAAAACATTTTCAGGATATTGGCAGCAATGGTAAGGTCAGCATTCAATACTCATTCCCCATTGACACAGCTTGTTGTTTTCCTTGGTCACTCAAGAGGGCAGTTAACCACATTTGTGCAGGGACCACAGTCAATTATGGTCCTAGGCTGGGTAAGTACAGTAGATCCCTTTTCCTAAAGGACATTAACAAACAACTCTATTTGTACAACGATCTAAGAGGTCCTAGCAAGATAAAATTTTAAGAAACTGAATTAAAATTAGGATGAGTTCCAAAGAATGGTATAAGACCCTGAAACTGAACATGGAACAGAATGGATGGGGCTAGGCCTCAGTTAGGAGATTGAAGGCCGCAAGCAAGCCCTTGAGAGCAGGGTGAGGATCAAATGAGAGTTGGGGAGGGGGATTCAGTGAAAGATTTTAATGGGACCTTACTGTGCATAGATTACCTGCTGTATATCCTGTATTACAATGGCAAATACATTCAAACCACTTCATTAAGTTTAAAGTAGCTTTAGGACATTTGACATTTCTTTCCTCTCCTCCAACCATTTTCATTCCTGACAGCTGTGTTTAGGAACTCTGTCTTTAATCCGACCGCCAGATATTGATACTCACCCTCTTGTACAGGATCTGGAGGAATTAACAGCTCTACCTCGGCAGCCAGGCTGGTAAAATAGTCCTTCAAGAAAAATAATGCATCCTAAATGTGGACAGAGGGAAACCGAAAATCTATCAGAAAGAGCTTACAAAACAAAAATCAGGAGGATCAAAAGTGTGCTAAGTCTGTTAGCATAGTGAGCAAGAGCTGGCACACATCCCTATCCATCATCCTACACACAACTGTTGTACATAGACTGACTATACAGGGCCAAGCTGGTGAACCCAAGGGCTTTACATTGGTTCAGGAAAAACCTTCCTCATAGATTAGCTCAGAATGAACTCCTACATGGGCTGGTGGAAAGAATAGGATTAGGGCATGGGCATCTCTCCCCTCCCTTTTTACTAACCTGATCGATGTTTAGTCGAAGGGGCATTAGTGTGATGCGTAAACAGCACTCACGAGGCATCTGAGTGGAATCTGGTCTCACGTGTAATGCCTTAATAGTTAGCTGAAGAAGAGATATTGAAAGGTTACTGTCACGCTTTGTATTACAAAGGCAATACGATGCGCATAAACATGGCTTATACTCAAAGTTTTTGAGAAGATTTGTAGCTTGGGTTGTGGATGAGGTTGTAGACTTGCTCACCGAGCTGGTGGGTTTGGTCGCCGATGTTTTGTCACGCTGCTAGGTAACACCGTCAGTGCGCCTCCAGTGAAGAGTCGGTGTACTGTCCTATTTGTTATTTATATGCTTCGGTTTGCTGGGGTGGTTGGTATCACTTCCAGTTCTGCCTTTCAGTGGTTTGTATGTCAGGTTTGAAAAACAGAAGCAGAAGTGATGCCAACCACCCCAGCAAACTGAAGCATATAAATAACAAATGGGACAGAACACTGATGCTTCACCAGAGGCGCACTGACGATGTTACCTAGCAGGGTGACAAAATGTCTGTAATCAAACACACCGGCTTGGCGAGCAAGTCTACAACCTCATAGCTTATATTCCATCAGTGTAGAAGACTTAAAGATGTTCTAATTAAAGTACTCAAAGTTACAAAAGGGATTGAAACAGGACCACTGCTTCAGAGACAGGAGTTCAAATACCATCATGGCAGGAGTTCAAATACCATCATGGCAGCTGAAGGAATTTAAATTCAATTAATTAATCAATCTAGAATTCATTGTGATCATAAACTAACAGATTGCCATAAAAATTCAACTGTTCACTAACATGCCTAAGGGAAAGAAATCTGCTGTCCTTACTGGTCTGGCCTACATATGACTCCAGTTCCACAACAATGCAGCTGATTCTGAAATGTCTGAGCAAGTACTCAATTCTAGGCTGCTCCCCACACTGGCTCAGGATTAAGGATAGGCAACAAATCCTGGCCATATCAGTGATATTCACATACCAAGAAGGAATTTCTTATAGAAGTATATAAAATTATAAGAGGCATGGATTAGGTAGGTAGTCAGAGTCTTTTTTCCAGGGTGGGAAATGTCAAATACTAGGTGGGGGGGCTAGGTTTAAGGTGAGAGGGGGCAAATTTTAAAATGTACAAGATAAGTTTTTTTTTACACAAAGGGTGTTAGGTGCCTGGAATCCGGTGCCAGCAGAGGTAGTAGAAGCAGATATGATAGCAACATTTAAGAGGCATTTAGACTGACACATGAATAGGCAGTGAAAAGAGGATAATAGATCATGTGCAGGCGTGTTGGATTAATTTAGAATGGCATGATGGTAAGCACAGACATGGTGGGCTGTGCTATTGTTTTCTTTATTCACCTCATGGAATCTGGGAGTCAGTGGCTGGCCAGCATTTTATTGCCCATCCCATGTTGCTCTCGAGAAAAGTGGTGAGCTGCCTTCTTGAACTGCTGCAGTCCACATGTTCATACTTCTTTCGGTCAACGTTTCCACACAAAGGGTAGCACAAATCAAGAATGCACTCTTTCAAAAGACTGTGGATGCTATGGGTCATTTGGAGCTTTCAAAACTGTGTTTCTATGATTCCTGGGATGGCAGGACTGACATATGAAGAGAGATTGAGTCGGTTGAGATTGTATTCACTGGAGTTTAGAAGAATGAGGAGAGATTCCATAGAAACTGACAGGATTCTAACAGGACGAGACGAGTTAGATGCAGGAAGGGGAGTCCAGAACCAGGGATTATAATTTAAGGATAATGAATAAACGTTTTAGGACTAAGATGAGGAGAAATTTTTTCATTCTGCAAGTGGTGAATCTGTGGAATCCACTACCACAGAAAGTGGCTGAGGCCAAAGCATTGTGTGTTCTCAGGAAGGAATTAGAGATAGTTTTTGTGGCTAAAGGGATCAAAGGATGTGGGGAAGGGTAATTAGGGTATTGAGCTCAATGATCATACTCAATGGAGAAGTAGGCTTGAGGAACTGAATGGCCTATTCCTGCTGCTGTTCTCTATATTTCTACGTTAAAAGTTTCAAAGGATAAGGAGAAAAGCTGATTAAATGGAGTTGATCTCATTATAGAGCATAGTAGGTTTGAGGAACTGAATGGATTCCCTTTTATTCTGTGTGTCACTGTGTGTGTTCTGGAGCTCCACTGATCACTTATGGAGTGCAATTATTGTTTTTTGAAAACCTGATTGGGGAGTACAGTTCCTTCAGGCACTGACTCTCCCATCAAAGCCCCGGTTAAAGCTGGAATATGTTCCACATTGTTAGATATTTCTGCAACCTCAGTCACAGTTATATTATTCATCCATGAGTGACTGAAGGGTGTCAGAATCTACTCTGCTCCGGCTCTCACCTCATGGGGTTTACTGCCTGCTACTCGGGTAACAATGAGGTCAATTCTAACCACACTAAATGCTGGCTAGCCAGCAATGACCACATCCCACAAATAATAAAGAAAGAACACAATTGTTGTCTTGGCTGCAAATAGCAAACAGAATGCAGGTCTGATATCAAACCCAATTTCATCCCAAAATAAGCAAAAATAGCAAGCCATGCAACCAGTGGAACGTAGGAACAAGTAAAGGTCACACGAGCCCTTGAACCTCTTCTGTCATTCAATGAGGCAATGACTGATCTGTATCTCAGTTCCACTGACCCGCTTTGGCTGTGTAACCCTCGCCAAACAAACATCTACAATCTCAGTTTTGAGATTTTCAACTGACCCTCACCATTTTGACAGAGAGCACTTCAGACTTCAACTGCAGGCTTTGTTGAGAAAAGTTTCTTGCCCCTATCATTGGGCCACCTTTTCAAGAGGTATATCGTAACACATCTGAACAGGTTGATCAAAAATATGTATACAGGCAGGTGGCTTTTCATTATCTAATCACGTGAACAAAAATGAAGAGAAAATTTGGCCCATCGAATCTGCTCCACCCACAAATTCTTTTAACACTTCAGTTGGATCAGACTTAACTTTTAAACTCATGGAATAAAAGTCTAGTCTTTGAAAACAGCCCTGCTATTATTCTGGTGAATCTGCACTGTACACACTCCAAGGATTAACTGCTTTAAACAACTCTGACAGAGACAATATTCAGTGCACCCATTCCTTGAGCTCCATTTATAACACTTCCAACCAACACCAAGTGGTTTAGGTAGATGAGCTGCTGAAGCATTCGAAGGACACCTCACCCCACTAGTTTTTTAATTCACTTTCCTCCTTCCAAAACTGGACCTCACCATATTAGAATGAGCCTTTCTTGGGAACTCTTTGCTCGAATACAAGTAGAGGAATTTGTTCATCTGGGATGTGGCAAGACGGTCTCTGATCTCGAGATCTTGAACGATGAAGACTTGTCGTGAAATGGGATGCTCTGTTGAACTTGAATCTTCATCATAACCTGTCTGAGGGTACACTTCGTGCTGAAATTTCACCTTTCAAAAGAAAATATGTTATCTGACATCAAATGGTGAACCAATTTCAAACTAAACTGAAAGGTCGTTCATTCAAAAGGATTGCTACTGAACTAAAATCAAGTGAAAACACTTATTTAAATTGTAGCACAGGTTGCATGGATGGAGTGATGAATCAAATACTGGCACTTTCATGCATTGGGAAGTTGGTGTGACATCGTTAAAGGTTTGTGATGAGGCTGAAAGCATCCGTGATGTCCTTTTCCGACTTGACGTTCAACATATGCAATTGACACAGAACAACGTTAACAAAACAACAGTTCAAGGAGTATGACACAAGTCAGGGAAGCTATAACCAAATGACTGTAAAGTTTAATAAGACTCATCTTGAGCAAGGCGCCCAGTTCTGATCAATCCCACCTTGAACCTGTGTTTAGTTCCAGTCGCTGAGACAGAAGGATATTCAAGTACCAGAGGCAGGGCAGAAAAGCAGGGTGACCGACAGGGTCAGGGTCTGAGATTTGAGAAACCACTTGGAGAAACTTTTTAGTTTGAAAATAAGGTGCAGTACATTCTTAGAAGAACAGGGAAAGTAAATCCAGAATATTATCTTAAATGTCAAGAACAGGGCAAAGAAATACATGCAAACTAGTAAAATATAAATTTAGGCCTGATATCAGGAGAATACTTATCAATAGAGCGACAAATGTATAGAATGAACTCCAAGATAAAAGCTGTCAAGTTTGGCTTAGTGGGAGGAGCCAGTGTCTCAGTCAGAATGAAGATTGTGGGTTCAAATACCACTCCAGAGATCAGAGCAAAAAAATTCAGGTTGATACTGTTAGTGCAATTCTGAGGGAGTGCTGTCGAGAGAAACCTCATTCAGTTGTTTCAGCGGCGGGAGTCCGGGAGGAAGCGCGAGGGCAGCCTGGGAAGGTAAGCTTCCACCCAATAAATTTGGGAGTTAACTGATACCGGAGACACTACACGCATAGTGTCTCCCACCCTTCCACCTCCTCTAACCTAATAATAACGACTAAGTGTGGTGAGCAGGTAAGCTATTTGCATTTTTTTTTCTCATCTCTTTGTTATCTTTCGGGGCGGTCATCTTGACGCCAAATCCTCTGGGAGCGGGTCGGAAAGCAAACCCGGAGTCTGTTTGAGTATATAACGGAGTAAACTTACTGGTGCAGTGAACACTGCGAAACTAAAAAAAAAAACGAATTCATTTTAAATAATTGGCTAAGTAGAGATGGCAGGCCAGGTGATGTGTTGTAGCTGTATGATGTGGGAGCTAGCTGATCCCATTGAGAACGGCAGTGACCACATCTGCAGCAAGTGTTGGCTGCTTGAGGAGCTCCGGCTCAAAATTGATGAGCTGGAATCCGAACTCCAAACACTGCGGCACGTCTGGGAGGGGCAGAAATACCTGGATGCTGTGTTCCAGGAGGCAGTCACACCTGGTAGATTAACTAACGTTAATTCGATCGGCAGGCAGGGACAGCAGTGTGTGACTGCGTGTGAGGTAGGTAGAGGGACCCTGCAGACAGGAACACAGGAGCCACAGCCCTTGACATTGTCCCACAGGTATGAGGCACTTGCTCCCTGCGTGGATGAGGGACAGGCCTGCAGGAAGGATGAGTCAACTGACCATGGCACCATGGTCCAGGAGGCCATTCAAGAGTGGGGAGCAAAAAGTTGTAGGGGATTCCATCATCAGGGGGATAGACAGTATCCTTTGCCAGCAGGATAGAGAATCCCGCATGGTGTGTTGCCTGCCCAGTGCCAGGGTGCGAGACATCTCTGACCAGCTTGAGAGGATACTAGAGAGAGAGGGGGAGGATCCAGTTGTTGTGGTCCATGTAAGTACCAATAACATAGGCAGGACTAGGGAAAAAGACCTGTTTCGGGATTATGAAAAGCTAGGAACAAAATTAAAAAACAGGTCTTCAAGGGTCATAATCTCTGGATTGCTGCCCAAGCAATGTGCAAATTGGCATAGGGAGGCGAGGATCAGGGAAGTAAACACGCGGCTAAAACAGTGTTGTGTGAAAGAGGGTTTCCTTTTCATGGGGCACTGGCATCAGTTCTGGGACAGGAGGGATCTATACCGCTGGGATGGACTCCACCTGAACAGGGCCGGGTCCAGTGTTCTGGCAAAAAGGGTAAATAGGGTGGTTAATAGGACTTTAAACTCGTAAATAGAGGGGAAGGGAGAAGTGAGCGTAGAGGGAGAATAACAATTAATGTAAGGCAAAGCAGCAGGTTAGCAGGTGACGAGGAAGCTTCAAGTCCATTGAAAATCAGGAAAAAATTAAAGGGAAGGAGAACTCAAGAGCTGTTAGTAATGGAGGTAATAGGACCCAAAAAGAAGGTGCAAAAATTGGCATAACGGCATTTTATCTGAACGCTCGGAGCATTCGAAACAAGGTGGATGAGTTGATGGCGCAAATCATGGCAAATGGGCATGATTTAGTGGCCATTACAGAGACATGGTTACAGGATGATCATGACTGGGAGTTAAATATCCAGGGGTATCACACTGTTCGGAAGGACAGACATTAAGGTAAGGGAGGTGGTGTTGCTCTGACTTTTAAGGATGATATCAGGGCAGTAGTGAGAGATGATATAGGTTCTACTGAACAAAACGTTGAATCCATTTGGGTGGAAATTAGGAATAGCAGGGCGAAGTCGTCACTGATAGGTGTGGTCTACAGGCCACCAAATAATGACATCGTGGTGGGGCAGGCAATAAACATAGAAATAGCTAATGCATGTAAAAATAGTACAGCAATTATCATGGGGGATTTTAATCTACATATCGATTGGTCAAACCAGGTCAGCCTTGAGGAGGGGCTCATAGAATGCATCCGCGATAATTTCCTTGAACAATATGTAATGGAACCTACGAGAGAGCAAGCTATCCTAGATCTAGTCCTGTGTAATGAGACAGGAATAATTAATGATCTCACAGTTAGGGATCCTCTCGGAAGGAGCGATCACAGTGTGGTCGAATTTAAAATACAGATGGAGCGTAAGAAGGTTAAATCCAGTACCTGTGTCCTGTGCTTAAATAAAGGAGACTATGAAGGAATGAGGAAGGAGTTAGCTAAGGTAGAATGGGAGTAAAAACTTTATGGTGCGTCAATTGAGGAACAGTGGAGGACTTTCAAAACAAATTTTCACAGTGCTCAGCAGAAGTATATTCCAGTAATAAGGAAGAACTGTAGGAAAAGAGAGCGCCAGCCATGGATGTCTAAGGAAATAAAGGAAAGTATCAGATTGAAAAAAAACACAGAGTAAAAAAGCGAAGGAGTAGTGGGAAACTAGTAGACTGGGAAATCTTTAAAGGCCAACAGAAAGCCACAAAAAAAGTTATAAAGAAAAGTAAGACAGATTATGAGAGTAAACTAGCTCAGAATATAAAAACAGGCAGCAAAAGTTTCTATAAATACGTAAATCGTAAAAGAGTGGCGAAGGTAAACATTGGTCCTTTAGAGGATGAGAAGGCCAATTTAATAACTAGGAATGAGGAAATAGCTGAGACATCAAACAGTTATTTCGTGTCAGTCTTCACAGTGGAAGACACAAATAACATGCCGAAAACTAACAGGAAAAAGGTTATAGCAGGTGAGGACCTATAAACTATCATCACTAAAGAGGCAGTGCTGGGCAAGCTAATGGGGCTAAAGGTAGACAAGTCTCCTGGCCCTGATGAAATGCATCCCAGGGTACTAAAAGACGGGATGGGGGAAATAGCAAATGCACTAGTAATTATTTACCAAAATTCACTGGACTCTGGGGTGGTTCCTGTGGATTGGAAAACAGCCAATGTGACGCCACTGTTTAAAAAAGGAAGTAGACAAAAAGCAGGTAACTATAGGCCAGTTAGCTTAACTTGGGTAGTGGGGAAAATGCTTGAGTCTATCATTAAGGAAGAAATAGCAAGACATCTGGATATAAATTGTCCCATTGGGAACACCCAGCACGGGTTCATGAAGGGTAGGTCATGTTTAACTAATTTGGTGGAATTCTTTGAGGACATTACTTGCATGGTGGACAATGGGGAACCTGTGGATGTGGTGTATCTGGATTTCCAGAAGGCATTTGACAAGGTGCCACACCAAAGGCTGCTACATAAGATAAAGTTCCACGGTATTACAGGTAATGTATTGGCATGGATAGAGGATTGGTTGACCAGTAGAAAGCAAAGAGTAGGGGTAAATGGGTGTTTTTCTGGTTGGCGGTCAGTGGCTAGTGGTGTGCCTCAGGGATCACTGTTGGGACCTCAATTGTTTACAATTTATATAGATGATTTGGAGTTGGGGACTAAATGTGGTGTGTCAAAATTTGCAGATGACACTAAGGTGAGTGGTAGAGCAAAGTGTGCAGAAGACACTGAAAGTCTTCAGAGGGATACAGATAGTCTAAGTGAGTGGGCAAAGGTCTGGCAGATGGAGTACAATGTTGATAAGTGTGAGATCATCCATTTTGGTAGGAATAACAGCAAATGGACGATGTTTTAAATGGTAAAAAATTGCAGCACACTGCTGTGCAGAGGGACTTGGCTGTCCTTGTGCATGAATCGCTGAAGGTGGGATTGCAGGTGCAGCAGGTGATTAAAAAGGCAAATGAAATTTTGTCTGCCGTTGCTCGAGGGATGGAGTTTAAAAACAGGGAGGCTATGCTGCAGCTGTATAGGGTCCTGGTGAGGCCACGCCTGGAGTACTGTGTGCAGTTTTGGTCTCCATACTTGAGAAGAGATATACTAGCACTGGAAGGAGTGCAGAGGAGATTCACTCGGTTGATTCCAGAGTTGAGAGGGTTGGATTATGAGGAGAGACTGAGTAGGCTGGGATTATACTCATTGGAATTCAGAAGAATGAGGGGAGATCTTATAGAAACATATAAGATTATGAAGGGAATAGGATAAGGTGGAGGCAAGGAGGTTGTTTCCGCTAGCAGGTGAAACTAGGACTAGAGAGCATCGCCTCAAAATAAAGGGAAGCAGATGTGGGACTAAGGTCAGGAGGAACTTCTTCACCCAAAGGGTTGTGAATCTGTGGAATTCCCTGCCCAGTGAAGTGGTTGAAGCTACCTCGCTGAATGTTTTTAAGGCAAGGCTAGATAAATTTTTGAACAGTAAAGGAATTAAGGGTTATGGTGAGTGGGCGGGTAAGTGGAGTTGAGTCTCAAAGATCAGCCATGATCTTATTAAATGGCAGGGCAGGCTCGAGGGGCCAGATGGCCTACTCCTGCTCCTAGTTCTAATGTTCTTTCAGATGAGACATTAAAATGATGGCCATATCTGCTATATCTTTTTTTTTCCCCCTTTATTTCATTAATGGGATGAGGGTGTCGCTAGCTAGGCAGCATTTATTGCCCATTCTTAATTGGCCAGACCAGGTAAGGATGGCAGTTTCCTTCCCTAAAGGATATTAGTGAACCAGATGGGTTTTCCCGACGGTTGGCAATGGATTCGTAGTCATCACTAGATTCTTAATTCCAGATATTTTTCATTGAATTCAAATGCCACCATCTGCCATGGCAGGATTCGAACCCAGAATTTCATGTTGGTCTCTGGATTAACAATCCAGCGATAATACCACTAGGCCATTATCTCCCCCCGGTCAGCAGGGCCACCTGTGTGTGGAACTGCAGGAGATGGGGGAAGATACTAAACAAGTATTTTGCATCAGTGTTTACTGTGGAGAAGGATATGGAAGATATGAAACGTGGGGAAATAAATAGTAACATAGTGAAAAATGTCCACATTACAGAGGAGTTGTACTGAAATTCTTAAAACACAAAGGTGGATAAATCCCTGGGAACCTGATCAGGTGTACTGTAGAACTCCATGGGAAGCTAAGGAAGAGATAGCAAGGGACCCAGCAGAGATATTTGTATCATCGACAGCCACAGGTGAGGTGCTGGAAAACTGGAGTTTGGCTAGCATGGTGCCAATATTTAAGAAAGGTGGTAAGGAAAAACCAGGGAACTATAGACCGGTGAGCCTGACATTGATGGTGGGCAAGTTGTTGGAGGGAATCCTGAGGGACAGGATTTACATGTACTTGGAAAGGCAAGAACCGATTAGGGATAGCCAACATGGCTTTGTGCGTGGGAAATCGTGTCTCACTAACTTGATTGAGTTTTTTGAAGAAGTAACGAAGAGGGTTGATGAGGGCAGAGTGGTGAACATGATGTATATAGAACATAGAACATTACAGCGCAGTACAGGCCCTTCGGCCCTCGATGTTGCGCCGACCTGTGAAACTAATCTGAAGCCCATCTGACCTAAACTATTCCATTATCATCCATATGTTTATCCAATGACCATTTAAATGCCCTTAAAGTTGGCAAGTCTACTACTTTTGCAGGCGGCATTCCACGCCCTTACTACTCTGATTAAAGAACCTACCTCTGACATCTGTCCTATATCTATCACCCCTCAATTTAAAGCTACGTCCCCTCATGCTAGCCATCACCATCCGAGGAAAAAGGCTCCCACTGTCCACCCTATCTAATCCTCTGATCATCTTGAAATATGGACTTCAGTAAGACATTCGACGATATTCCCCATGGTAGACTGGTTAGTAAGGTTAGATCACACAGAATACAGAGAGGACTAGCTATTTGGATACAGAATGGTTCAAAGATAGAAGACAGAGGTGGGTGGTGGAGAGCTGCTTTTCAGATGGGATGCCTGTGACCAGCGGATCAGTGCTGGGTCCACTGCTTTTCGTCGTTTACATAAACGATCTGGATGTGGACATAGGAGGTATGGTGAGTAAATTTGTAGATTACACTAAAATTGGAGGTGCAGTGGACAGCAAAGAAGATTATCGCAGAGTACAATAGGACCGTGATCAGATGGGCCAATGGGCCGAGGAGTGGCAGATGGAATTTAATTTAGATAAATGTGAGGTGCTGCATTTTGGAAAGGAAAATCAGGGCAGGACTTATGCACTTAATGGTAAGGTCATGGAGAGTGTTGCAAAAGAAAGAGACCTTGGAGTGCAGGTTCATAGTTCCCTGAAAGTGGAGTCGCAGGTAGATAGGATAGTGAAGAAGGCGGTCGGTATGCTTGCCATGGAGTATAGAAGTTGGGAGGACACGCTGCAGATGTACAGGACATTCGATAGGCCACTTTTGGAATACTGCCTGCAATTCTGGTCTCCCTGCTATAGGAAGGATGTTGTGAAACTTGAAAGGGTTCAGAAAAGATTTACAAGGATGTTGCCAGGGTTGGAGGGTTTGAGCTACAGGGAGAGGCTGAATAGACTGGGGCTATTTTCCCTCGAGCACTGGAGGCTGAGAGGTGACCTTATAGAGGTTTATAAGGTCACGATGGGCATGAAAAAGGTAAATAGACAAGTCTTTTCCCCAGGGTAGGGGAGTCCAAAACTAGAGGGTTTAAGATGATAGGGAAAGACTTAAAAGAGACCTAAGGGGCAGCTTTTACATGTAGAGGGTGGTGTGTGTGTGAAATGAGCTGCCAGAGGAAGTGGTGGAGGCTGGTACAATTACAACATTTAAAAGGCATCTGGATGGATATATGAATAGGAAGGGTTTAGATTGATATGGGCAAAATGCTGGCAAATGGGACGAGATTAATTTAGGATATCTGGTCGCATGGTGGTGCTGGACCGAAGGGTCTGTTTCTATGCTGTATATCTCTGTGACTCGATGTGACGCATAATGCAACGTACAAGTGTTTCAAAAACTTTCAGTTTGTATAGCAACAGCAGCAGCACCAAAGAACAGTGCATACGAGTCAGAAGCTGAATGATACTGATACCTTGCTGAACTGAATCTCCATCAGCACATCATGGTTCCTCCCAGGTCCACCCTGAATACGACGGGCAGAACGGCTGTGGCGGGAGGATGACTGAGACGGCGAGCCTTGAGAGGAGCTGGAAGAAGATTTAGATCTATTAAGAAACCAGTCAATATATACTTCAATCAGCATCGCTGCATATTTGTTCCATACTAATGATGGTTTAAACGGAAGCATTGTGGCACAGTCCTACTCAGAAACAACTAGGTTTTGCCTCACAAAATTAAGACTAACACTCAATCTCCAATTTGAACCAATTCCTTTCAGGACTCCAAATCAAACTCATCTCCCTCAACCTTCAGGAAACAGACATGTTTAAAGAGCAGTGAACTAACACATGTTCAACATATGTTGCCTCAACACAATTCACCAACTATTTATTTCCTATTTTATCTTGAAAGACACTGTTCTGATTCCAGCTGATCTCATTTTTGGACAGGTCAAATTCCAGACTTAAATCTGGCTTGGTAGATCATAATTTCTGTTTTTGTTTTGTGTTGGTTTAACAAGGTGGTCTCTCCTGAAACATGAGATTAGTTTTAAACAATAGAACAGAAGCTTACTGACAAAAAGAAACAGAATAAACCTAACGACTTGCTTAAAGACATGGTAACATATACTCCCATTAATCCCAAAAGGAAACTTCTTTACGGATTCTGAAATCAACTCTTGTACAGTACTCACAGCAGAAAACAAAATCTTTCGGTTACACCTCATTAGGCTTAATTTAACTGTGACTTCAACATCCAGCGTGGAAAATTGGGTAGCATTTTCCTGGAACCTTCACATATCTGAAACGTTCTCCACTTCAAATAACCACTTCAGGGTTTTACTCAAACACTTCTGGTCTTGGGACCTTTACTAAATTCCTTACTTCCCTGGGGCATTGCTTTATCATAGAATTCCTACAGTGTGGAAACAGGCCCTTCAGCCCAACAAGTCCACATGAGCATCCCATCCCTCTATAACCCACCTAATCTATACATCCCTGAACGCTACAGGCAATTTACTATGGCCAATCCACCTAGCCTGCACATCTTTGGACTGTGGGAGGAAATTGGAGAAAACCCACAAAGAGATGGGGAGAATGTGCAAACTCCACACAGACAGTTGAAATTGAACCTGGGTCCCGGGCGCTGTGAGGCAGCAGTGCTAACCACAGAGCCACTTGGCTGCCCAGGGCAGCAGTGCTAACCACTGAGCCACTGTGCCGCCCGGCTCTTTCGAGGCACTGTAATTGGAATGAGTACACTTTAAATCCTTTAATGAGGATCTATTGGAGGGCAAATCTGGTGCCAGCAGCCACGGTAATTCCAGCTCCAATAGCGTATATTAAAGCTGCTGCAGTTAAAAAGCTCGTAGTTGGATCTTGGGAAAAACCAATCCGGGCTCGCCCGGCAGCTTTGGTGACTCTAGATAACCTCGGGCAGATCGCAAGTCCTCGTGATGGTGACGATGCATTCGAATGTCTGCCCTTGCTTTAAATATCCGTTTTCATCCAATGTCTGCCTAGTACTAATAATAATAACCTTTTTCAAGCTTATGGGTGTTTTCCTTAAACTTTAAGAAAATTCCTTAAGTTTCCCAAAGAAACCTTGATGTCCTAACAGAAATCTTGCTGCATAATTGTTTATCTTGCTCCGCTATACATTCTTCCAAAGTAAATAAAAACGTATTAGTTCTAAAAGCAACTCCTTCAAGTAGTTTTTAAAGAAATCATGATGGCTACAGAAATACCTTCAAGTTAATCAATAAATTCTTCAGAAACAGAAAAATCCCACGTTATTAAATCAGAATTCAAAAGTCCAAACTTAGATGATATTAAAAATACATATAAATCATACAGTCTGCAACAAAGAGACAATGATGGCTGCTGTGTGGATTGGAGCTTGACTGGGGGACAATCCATTGCCTGACTAACATTTGGATTTTAATTGGATATCAACAGGATATTGATGATGTGGACTAGCTAGGCAGGTGCTATGGGAACTCAGCTTGGTAGGTCTCTCAGACGTTGGTCACTTAGATCCCAATATCAGATCGGACCGCTATGGCTGTTAACTTTTTTTTATGTTTTAGAGCTGCCACTAGGATTTCAAGGTTGGGGTAATTCTAGTCAGTATTTTTCATCCTTTGAATTGTGCAAAAAATCTAAAATAATTTTACTCCTGTAAAATGTTCTGGAATTCAAAATTTGGAGAGATCACTTTCAGTGTTGAATCACAAGTGGATACAGACCTGTCACTGCTGATAGGAGTTTGAGCCCATGATAATTTCAAAACTTAAACCACATTGGTCTAGTGTGACTTTCACAAAGCTACCAACACATTAAACACGATCAAGCAAAAGCAATGATAAGAAACGTACGTTATGCTTTTCATGGGAGAACGTGTAGAGAGGGCAGTTCCAAAGTCCCTTCCTCCATACAGGTGCCAGACAACTGAGATCTCCTTCACTACATATCGGGTCTCAGGGACTGGAAGGTGCAGTGGTGATTTGCCAGTGTCCAGCTTCTTGACCGGTTGTGTGAAGTAGTCATCTTTGATGAGGATCGGTCCAGAATTCAGCATCCTCACTACAGGCTCAGTCTCTCTCTGCCAGAAAGACAAATAACTCCTTTAAAAACTTCAGGCATTTTCATCTAGATGGGTAGCAGATACATGGTAACACCACCACCTGCAAGCTGTCATCCAAGCCATCCAACATTGTGACTTGGAAATATAATCGCCGTTCCTTCTGCGCTTCCGAGTCAAAATCCTGGAACACCCTCCCTAAGGGGCATTGCGGGTCTACCTACAGTACATGAACTGCAGCGGTTCAAGGCAGCTCACCCCCACCTTCTAAAGGGCAACGAGGGACAGGCACTAAAAGCTGGTCCAGCCAGCAACACCCATGTTCCATGAATGAATAAAATAAATTTCAGCTGGAGTTACTTCATGGTCATCAGGAACATGAATACTACTGTGGATTCCTGCCCCCCTAACCCCACCCCAACCCCCATCTTCAATTGCAGCATTCCCCCCCTAAAGCTGCTCAAGCTGATGTCAGTTAGGAAAGACTTGTATTTCAATAAGTTCAGGATGCTGCAAAGGGTTGTACAATCAATTAAGCATTTTCAACGTGCCATCATTGTTGGGTCAATATAGAGAACCGCGGCAGCCACTTGTTTCAAACATTTGCTCACGAGATGTGAGCTGGCTATGTCGGCATTCTTTTGCTTATTCTTAATTGGCCTTGAGTAGGTGATAGTGAGTGGTTTTCCTGAACTGTGTATAAAAATGAACTGTAGATGCTGGAAATCTGAAACAAAAAAACCAGAAATTGCTGGAGAAACTTAGCAGGTCTGGTAGCATACCTTAGATATTCCTTTACATATCAGGAGCTCCTCGCAGCGATTTTTTCTCTCTTTCAGCACTTACCATGATCGCCATCTTTGGTGCTTCTAGGATACAGAAGTCCTCACTCTCGGGTTGCTCGCTGGGCAAGGAGGGGTAGGCTGCATGATGCTCAGGAAAGATCATGGTGGAACTTGGGCTCTGCTCCTGTGAAGAACTTCCACTCTCATCGGGGAAGAGGAACAGGTCAGACCGAGTTGGCTCGCGCTCTTGAATGAGGTCATCATAGATCCCTAAAGGTGGGGAAAGGAGATCAATGAAATTCATCCTTCCTGAGCTACCTTGAAAGATTAAAAAAAAAAGGTCAAGATAAGATGACTGGTCTTCGTTTCAGGTGATCATTATTAAAATAGTAAAACAAGGTGTTGTATAGATGTGTTTCTAACAAAGTTTCATACAGTCACGTGAGGAGATACGAGGATAGGTAACTGATCCATGAGGCCAGTTTTAAGGGGTAAGAGGTAGTGGGTTTAGGAAGGGTATTGCAGAGCAAGGGCAGGTGACTGCAACGTGGCTAATTGAAGATATACAACGGCTCAGAACTGGAGTAACAGAAAGATCTCAAGTGTTTGTGGGTTTGGAAGATGTTATAAAGAGAGCGGGTTAAAGAGGTAAGTTATAAGAAGTATCATAAAAGAACTCAGTTTACAGCTGACTAAACCCAGTACCTCTTCCTGTTTAATGATTAGCACGCACAGCTTTTCATTTGAGTCATCTGCTTTCTCCACTCACCATTTGACTGCTGCGAGGCTTGAGTAGTAGGAGGTGAAGATGGTGGGATATCCATCTCTTCCATCGCATCAATCATCAGGTCCCGTAGGAGCTTCTGCTCGGCTTCAGCAAGGCCGGAGGTTCGGCAAGGAGCACTGTCACCTGAACCAGCCTGAGTAAGAGACATTGCTATAGTCAATCCATCAGAGCAACAGAATGGCAAAGGTTTACTGAGGTCAATGTGATATGAGGCAAGTGTGCTTTACAGGTGGGGGATGAGGGCAGTGAAAGAGAACAGGTAACTGTGGACTTGCGGTTCCCAAACTTTGGCCCCACTGGAAGTTTCCTCATCTCATGTCTGGGTCTGTTATACACTTGATCACTGTGATCAATCAATAACTCTGTAATCATTCTTTTGTTGGTTCTATGGCTTTACAGACACACACTGGACCTGCTCACTGATAGCCAGTTTGAATTACGCCACAGTCAGTTAGCTCCTGACCCCTTTATTTAAAAGAGCTGAATTCCAGAAGTGACGTGAAAGAGGCAGCTTTTGACAACAAGGTTGTTTTTGACCAAGATGACATCAGCATTCCGAGCAAAACTAGAGTTAGTGGAAGTCAGGGAAAACTCTCCACTGGTTTCAATCATACCTAGCACATAGGAAGACAGTCAAGGTTGTTGATGTCACTCATCTGAGGTCCAGGATATCCTGCAGGAGTTCCTCAGGATAGTGCGCTAGGCCCAACCATCTTCAGCTTTTCATCAGTGACATTTACTCCATTGAAACTTCAAAAATGGAGATTTTCATTGATGATTGCAGTCTACATTCACTCCTTCTGCCACTAACACTCAGAGTCAGCAGTGTGTACAATCTACAACATGCACTGCAGAAATTCACCATGGTTCCATACAAACACATGACTACTTCCATCAAGAAGGACAAAGGCAAGAAATTCATGGGAACACCACCAGTTGCAAGCTTCCCTCCAAATCACTCATCATTCCTAATTTTGGAAGTATATCATTACTCCTTCATTGCTGCTTGGTCAAAATACTGGAACTCCATCCCCAGTAGCATTGTGGACCTACACCAAATGTACTGTCGCAGTTCAAGAAGGCAGCTCACCACCACCTTCTCATGGGCAACTCAGAACGAGCAATACAAAACCAAAAGAAATTCTAATTTATCAAACCAGGTTTCAGTCTGGGATGTGACTTGTCTGTCATAACAATATCAGCTAGATTCCTATGAATAAGCTAGCTTGCTCAAAAGCTTGAAGAGGGATGGATAATAAATTCTGACTTAGTTAGCAATTCCAAACCTCATGAATGAATTAAAAGGAATGATTGTAAATATATTTTGATTACCCTGCTTCTCTGAGCTGCTGTTCCTGGAGCAGCCTGGAATTTGCAGGGAGGATGTAGGTCTCCATAACTCGCCACATACTGGATGAGATTCATGAGGGCAGCGCAAGAATCAGAACAGGTCCGGATATGGATGACGTCACTAGTGCATTGAAGTTCAAACCGGGGCTGAAACTGACAGAGCGGTAAAGTTCATTGGAGAACCCAATCAGTATGAACAATCTGACACAGGAACAATCAAAATGCCTAAAATCTCCCTCACCAGCTCTGCTTCTGCAGTCTGCTTTGACGCAGTTATTCGAAACTCCAGTAACCCCATGTCCAAGACACGCACATAATCTGAAATAAATAATTTGCACTGATTGATCCTGGTGAACAGATTTTGTCTTTCAGAGTAAGACACGGACAATTACTCAATAAAAAGCTGTAAAAGTCAACAAAAATCTATCAGCAACCAATTTCCCTGTGGTCTTCATGCCTGTCCCCCACTCCTCTCAAAGTACTGCACAGGAGGCTGCTAAATAAGATAAAAGCCCACGGAGTTAGAGGCAAGATACTGGCACGGAGACAGGATCGGCTAACTGGCAAAAGGCAGAGAGTACGGATCAAGGGTTTTTTTTCAGGATGGCATCCATGACTTGTGGAGTTCCGCAGGGGTCAGTGTTGAGATGATTTGGACGAAGGAACTGAGGGCATTGTTGCTAAGTTTGCAGATGACACAAAAGTAGCTGGAGGGACAGCCTTACTCGGGAGGGTGTAACACTGGACCTCCTCTTAGGAAATGAGGCAGGGCAAGTGTCAGTCGGAGAGCATTTTGGGTCCAATGACCATAACTCTCTTAGTTTTAACATAGTTATGGAAAAAGATAGGACAGTTTCACAGGTTAAGGTGCTAAACTGGAGCAGGGCCAACTTGGGGCCATTAGGCAGGATCTAGCAGAGGTCGATCGGGTGAGTCTGTTTGAAGGAAAAGGAATGACTGTCAAATGGGAAGCTTTTAAAAGTGTCTTATCAAGAGTCCAGGGACAGTATATCCTTGTTGGGGTGAAGGGAAAAGCTGGCAGGTTTAGAGATTCCTGGCTGATGAGGAATATTGAGGCTCTGGTCAGGAAAAAGAAGAAGGCATACATTGGGTTTAAGCTCTCAAGCTCAAGTGAATCCTTAGATGACGATAAAAAGTGTAGGAACACACTTAAGAGGGAAACCAAAAGAGCAAAAACAAGGTATGAGATGGATCAGACTAAAGAGAAGGTTAAAGAAAATCCCAAGAGGTTCTATAGCTATGTTAAGAGTAAAAGGGTGGCTAGGGAGAGAATAGGTCCACTTAAAGACCAGCATGGTCGTCTATGTGTGAAACCATAGGAGATGGGGGAGATTTTTTAAAATGAATATTTCTCCTCAGGGTTTACGGAGGAGAGAATCACAGATGCTTAGGAAATAAGGGAAACAAGTGGGGATGTTTTGGACCGCATACACATTACCAGAGAGGAGGTGTTTGCAGCCTTAAAGCAGATTAAGGTGGGTAAATCCTTTGGGCCTGATCAAGTCCATCCTTGGACATTATGGGAGGCTAGGGAAGAAACTGCAGAGGCCCTTGCAGAGATTTTTGCTTCATCTTTAGCCACTGGCGAAGTTCTGGAAGACTGGAAGGTGGCTAATGTTGTTCCATTGTTTAAGAAAGGTAGCAAAGACAAGCCAGGGACTATAGGCCAGTGAGCCTGACATCAGTGGTAGGCAAGTTATTGGAGAGGATACTGAGGGACAGGATCAACCAACATCTGGATAGTCATTGTCTGACTCGGGATAGTCAGCATGGATTTGTGCGCAGGAATTCATGTCTGACAAATCTTTGAGTTATTCGAAGAGGTAACCAAGAGGATGGCCGAGGGTAGGGCAGCGGATATTGTCTGTATGGACTTTAGCAAGACCTTTGACAAGGTCCCGCACGGCAAGCTAGTCACAAAGGTTAGGTCGCATGGGATCCAGGGAGAGCAAGTTAATTGGATTCACAATTGGCTCAATGATAGGAAGCAGAGGGTGATGGTTGAAGGTTGTTTCTCGGACTGGAGGCCTGTGACTAGTGGTGTGCCACAGGGGTCGGTGCGGGGACTTTTGTTATTTGTTATTTACATAAATGATCTGGACGTGGATGTACAAGGCATGATTAGTCAGTTTGTGGATGATACAAAATTAGGAGGTATTGTTGATAGCGAGGAAGGTTATCAAAAATTACAGAGGGATCTTGATCAAATGGGTAAGTGGGCTGAGGATTGGCAAGTGCAGTTCAATGCAGATAAGTGTGAGGTGTTGCCCTTTGGAAAGTGACTTATACAGTAAATGGTAACGTCCTGAGGAGGGTTGTGGAACAGAGGGACCTACGAGTACAAGTACATAGTTCATTGAAAGTGGCGTCACAAGTAGACAGGGTGGTGAAGAAGGCATTTAGCCTGCTGGCCTTCATTGCTCGAAGCACTGAGTATAGGAGTTGGGATGTTATGTTACAAAGTCGTTGGTGAGGCCACACTTGGAGTATTGTGTACAGTTTTGGTCACCCTGTTACAGTAAAGTCATAGTTAAACTGGAAAGTGTGCAAAGAAGGTTTACGAGGATGTTGCCAGGACTAGTAGGCCGGAGTTATAGGGAGAGGTTGGCTAGGATAGGACTTTATTCCTTGAAACCTAGGAGAATGAGGGGTGACCTTATTGAGGTGTATAAAATCATGAGGGGCATAGATAGGATGAATACATGCAGTCTTTTCCCCAGGAATGGGGAATTGAAAACTAGAAGGCATAGGTTTAATGTGAGAGGGGAAAGATTTAAGAAGGACCTCAGGGGCAACCTCTTCATACAGAGTGGTGCATATACAGAATGGGCTGCCAGAGAAAGTGGTTGAGGCAGGTACAATAGCAACATTTAAAAAACATTTGGATAAGTGCATGGATGGGAAGGGTTTAGAGGGATATGGACCAAATGTAGGCAATTGGAATTAGCTTAGTGGGTACCATGGTCAGCATGGAGCAGTTTAGGCCGAATGGCTGTTTCCATGCTGGATTACTCTGTGACTCTATGACAGGTAGTGTTAAGGAAATGGGGAGGCTGCAGGAGGACTTGTACATGCTAGGAGAGTGGGCAAAGACATGGCAAATAGAATACAATGAGGAAAAAATGTGAGGTTATGCACTTTGTTTAGAAGGATGAGGGGAGATCTCATTGAAACTTACAAAATACTGAGAGGTCTAGATAGAGTGGAAATGGAGAAGGTGTTTCTACTAACAGGAGAGACTAGTACCTGTGGGCACAGCCTCAGAGTGAAGTTATGGCTCTAAAACTGCAATAAAGAGGAATTTCTTCAGCCAAAAGGTGGTGAATCCGTGGAACTCATCGCCACAGAAGGCTGAGAAGACCAGGTCATTGAGTACATTTAAGACTGAGATAGATAGGTTTTTGATTATCAAGGGGATCAAGGGTTACAGGGAGAAAGCATGAGAATGGGGTTGAGGAACTTATCAGCCATGATTGAATGGCAGAGAGACTCGATGGGCCGAATGGCCTAATTTCTGCTCCTATGTCTCATGGTCTTATGAGTGTATTTAAGACAGAAGTACATAGGTTCTTGATTAGTAAGGGGATGAAGGGTTACAGGAAGAAGGCAGCAGAATAGGGTTGAGAAATATATCAACGATGATCAAATGGTACAGCAAACTTGATGGGCCGAATGGCCTTAATTTGTTCACAAATGTTATGGCCTTATGGTCTCCTGAAACAAAGCAGACTCTTGCTGGGGTACGGGTCCCCCTTCTCTATGAAGACCCTTTCCCTTTAATACCTTAGGTGACTGAACACATCCCCTTTAATGCTAGACATAAACACAATCTCACCTTTCTTTAAATTTACTGCAGATAGATTACATTTTTCAGACAAGTACAATGCAGCATCATCGATAATAATTCTGGAAAATGAAAGAGAGTTTTTATTACAATAGGTAATTAGCAGAAAGAGGAAGTGGTTATTATATCTCAAAGGAGTCAATCCTTACCTGAGTGTGGAGCAATACTTGTCCAGAACAATGTTACTAGATATTGTGAAGGTTTCAACAGTGACTAGTGCTCGAACTGGTAAATACTGTGGCCTGTAAAACAGACACAATCACACATATTTTAGGTGTCAACCACATCAGCTATTCCAACTCATTCTTTCTCAGGTCTTCAAAACAGTCAAACATGGGATGGGGTGGCGATGGCCTACTGATATCATTGCTGGACTGTTAATCCAGAGACCCAGATAATGTTCTGGGGATCTGGGGTCCAACCCTGCCATGGCAAATGGTGGAACTTGAATTCAAAAAATATCTAGAATGGGGTTAAATCTAATGATGACTGTGAATCCATTGTCGATTGTCAGGAAAAACCCATCTGGTTGGCTAATGTCCTTTAGGGAAGGAAACTGCCATCCTGACCTGGTCTGGCCTACATGTGACTCCAGACCTAGAGCAATGTGGTTGATTTTTATTGCCCAGAGGGCAGTTAAGTGCTGCCTAGCCAGCAATGCCCTCATCCCGTGAATGAGTAAAGGATATATCAGTCATTCATCCTCCTTTCAAGATTTTCAAAACTTCCGCATGACATCAACTACCCTATTTTCTTTCCTACGCTTTCAGCTTCAGCCACGTTCATCGTTTGAAACTTCAGCTGATCAATTCCAAAAGAACAACCACCTGAAATTCTGAGTATGACATTAATCCAGTTCCAGGCCTTACTCCTGGGACAAGGAACCTGATGGAGCCTTTGCTGAAAAAGCCTCTTTAGAGGTATAACTGGCGAAAACTGACCTTACTCTTTCTTACCATGATTTCCTACTCAGTACAAATGGTTACCAGGATACACCCACATGTGCAATCAATGATGATGGAACTAATGGACAGGTACCAGTTTTACCGAGGGTTGTGCAGCAACTTGTAGGAACATGAACCCTAACTTGTGCTGTACATGTTTGTCACTGCATTATAAAGGGAGCTTTATCCTGTATTTAATCCTGTGCTGTACCTACCCTGGGAGTGTTTGATGGGGGCAGTGTACAGAGTTTTATGCTGTATTTAACCTCATGCTGTATCTGATCCTGGAGTGTTTGATGTAAGTTTGTGTGAAGTCTTGTTGTACATCCCCATAATAATGTATTCAACAGAATAAATAGTGAGAAATCTTGTGCTGCGAAGAAGAATAAAAGCATGGACTATTTTCTAAATGGGGAGAAAATTCAGAAGTCTGAAGTGCAAAGAGACTTGGGAGTTCTAGTCCAGGATTCTCTTAAAGTAAACTTGCATGCTGAGTCAGTAGTCAGGAAGGCAAATGCAATGTTGGCATTTATTTTGAGAAGACTTGAATATAAAAGCAGGGATGTACTACTGAGGCTTTATAAGGGTCTGGTCGAGCCACATTTAGAGTATTGTGTGAAGTTTTGGGCCCCATATCTCAGGAAGAATGTACAGGCCCTGGAGTGGGTTCAGAGGAGGTTCGCAAGAATGGCCCCAGGAATAGAAAGCTTAATATATGAGGAACGTTTGAGGACTCTGGGAGTACACTCATTAGAGTTTAGAAGGATAAGGGGTATCTAATTGAAACTTACAGAATACCGAGGGGTCTGGATAGAGTGGAAATGGAGAAGGTGTTTCCACTAACAGGAGAGACTAGGACCTGTGGGCACAGCCTCAGAGCGAAGTTATGGCTCTAAAACTGCAACAAAGAGGAATTTCTTCAGCCAAAAGGTGGTGAATCTGTGGAACTCATCGCCACAGAGGGCTGTGGAGGACAAGTCATCGAGTACATTTAAGACTGAGATAGATAGGTTCTTGATTATCAAGGGGATCAAGGGTTACAGGGAGAAAGCAGGAGAATGGGGTTGAGGAACTTATCAGCCATGATTGCACGGCGGAGCAGACTCGATGGGCCGAACGGCCTAATTTCTGCTCCTACATCTTAAGAAGTTGTTTACCTGTAATCCAGGGCACAGCTCCAGAGATGCAGGTGGAAGGTGGTTTCATTTGCTGGGTGGGCATAACCCAAAACTGGTTCATCAGCAATATTCAGGAAATCCACAAACTGTAGGAAGGGAAGAAAGCAATTAATCCGACAGAGGTTCATTAAACAGGTTCTGAACCCAATGTAAATCTAGCATGGTCACAAGGCTAAATTAACAGCACAATGTCAAGTTTACATTGACCATGCAGCCCCTTCTCAAAAATAAATGAATGATCTAATCAGATCAGAACTAGTTGGGTACATGAGCCAAGGGAACATTCTAACTGTAAGACGTTGTCAAATACAGCATCAGTAAGAGGCCATTTCCCTTCTGGTCTCCTGAGTTCCTACTGCTGACATCTCCTTCTGGCCAAGTGCTGAGTAGAAGCCAGTTGCAAGTTGGCAGATACCAATCTGTTCCTTTTTGGAATGTCAGAGCAGCACTGGCAGAAACAGGATACTTGTGCTTCCTTCTGTGTCTTGACAAAGTATGGAAAGAAGTGCTGGAACTTCAATGCTCTCTCTAAGATAAAGAGTGCCTAGCGAGAGACTTTTTACAGTATGTGAAGTTAGTGAAATAGACAGCTGAAATACTTTTAACTATCCTACAGAGGGATCGTGTAACATTTGATGATATTAAGGGATAGGGGTACAGTGTGGGAAAATGGTGTCAAGGTGAAAATCAGCTATGACCCATCTGAATGACAAAGGAAGCTCGAGTGGCCAAATGATCTAGTCCTGCTCCTACTTTCTATGCCCCTCTCAGAAGCAAGGAGGTCAAGAGACAGCCCTTATGACCAATACTTTGGAGACCAGAGCTTGAAAATGAAAGAACCACTCAGTAACAGGACATACTTAGTCTTCCTTCTTGAATAAAGAACCTCAGCTATACCCACAGCACTGAATCCCAATGATGGCTCAGGTACACTCAACAACACAGAGCAATTTGTGTAAGGCAGAGCTCTCAATGAAAGGGCAACAAATGCAACAAAAAAAAAACTGGCTTTTCATGACTCTGCTTACACCAGGAAATAGAGTGGAGAAGTCATGCAAGTTTTCCCTTCACCAGCTAAGTTCTATTTCAAAGTGGCTGACCTGTGTGTTGCCTGTACGGAACTCTCAGGTTTGCTTAACTTAAAAGGGAACATTACCTGTGGGTTTTACTTAATTTGCTCATAGAAAATCAAACTGACATATTAAGGAACAATTCACTTTCCTTTGCATTTTACATGGCCAAGAGAAACATTCCCTGTGCTTTAAATTAGAAATTTTAATATTTGCAAGATTTTATTGGTAGATTGGTGGCATATGAGGTTCAATGCGGAGCCAATGCACTTTGATTGGATGAATACAAAGTAAACAGTACAATTGAAGTGCACAAAGCACTGAAGGTGGCAGAACAGGAGAGCAGTGTCCTTGGCTTTATTAATAGGGATGTGGAGTACAAGGGCAAGGAGGTGATAATTCAATTGTTAGACCTCAGCTGGAGTATTGTGTACTGTGGGCACCACATTATTGGAAGGATGTGAATGAATCGCAGATAGCGTACAGTGATTTACAAGAATGGTTCCAGGAATGAGAAACTTTCAGTGATGAGGGTAGATTGAAGACTGTGGGACTGTTCTCCTGGGAAAGGAGAAGGCTGAGAAAGATTTGATGGAAGTTTTCAAAATCACAAAACAACTTGATAGATCAGGTAGGGAGAAGCTGTTTCTGCCCGCAAAACAAACAAGAATGACAGGGTACTGATTTAAAGTGATGCGCAAATGAAGCAACAGCAATGTGAGAAACATTTTTTCACACAGCAAGTAGTTAGGGTGTGGAATGCACTGCCTGGAAATGTGGTTGAGGCAGGTTAACTGAGACATTCAAGAAAGGCATTGGATGATTACTAGGATACAAATCCTGTTCAGGGACATGGGGTAAAGGGAGAAAGAGATAAAGACCGACACTAGGTAACAGAACTGGTACAGGCATGATGCACTGAATTGGCCTCCATCTGCACTATAACAATTCTGTTATTTCAATGCATTAGGAAACAATGAAAACCAAGGCTCATAAAAACTCTCTGGGTTTTCCAATTAAGTATTAAACAAAACTGCAGCTCCAGGGTGCACTAAGCAGAATACAAGCTTGCTTGGTCGCTATTCCCCAAGATACAGTCAAGGGCTGTTAGCTCTTACAAATAACAAAAGGGCTTCTAATCCCTACCCTACACATATTGCAGGGAGTAGCAGTTTGTGTGCACATTCTAGTGAGTAACAGTCCTTGTGTACAAATTAATTTCCCACAACACCTGGTGCTTTCACTTTTGAAACAGTACTTTCAGAATGTGTGTTGATATTCAGCATTACCATGCAGCCTTCAGGCTCCCAATGATAACTGATGTGAAGCTAACCTGCTCGTACCAGCTTCGCCCTGGGGGCACATTGCGATGCTGGAGGGTGGCCCCACGCAACCCGATAGCCACCAGGATCTCCTGAAACAAGAGGGAGAGGAAAATATATCAATGTCAACTGAAAAGTGCCCACTTTGATGTTTACCTTCTCTTTGAACAGCGTGCATTAATATGGCTTTCTTGATGCTATAAAATATTCCAAGACACTACACAGCAGCAGTGACAAACAAAAATTACCATTAGTTACCTTCATGTTGCTCTCGTTTTTGTTGTGATGTACTTTTACTGCAATGGAGAGCATGTTTGGACTTTCTACACCAACTCCCACTGAAGCAGCAGCCTGCTTGGTCAGAGCACCCTCCTCAGACTTGTATATGGTAGGTTCAACCCATGAAGGCTGAGACTTGCTGGGGAGCTTTATATCACCAGGGGCACAGATATCCTCAACTACTCCTGCAAAGGACCAGAGAACAGCATGAGAAAAAACAGAACTAGACTATCACACAGTCCTACACACCCTTTGGTCCAACTTGTCCGTGGAGACCAGACACCCCAATCTGACTTAGTCCCATTTGCCAGCATTTGGCCCATATTCCTATAAACCCATTCTATTCATTTACCCATCCAGATGCCTTTTAAATGTTGTAACTGTACCATGCTCCACCCCTTTCTCTGGCAGCTCATTCCATACACGCACCACCCTGTGTGGAAGAAGTTACCCATCAGGACCTTTTTAAATCTTTCCCTCACATTTATCTAAATTAAACTCCATCTACCACTCCTCAGCCCGATGGCCCGTCTGATCAAGGTCCTGTTGTACCCTGACATAATCTTCACTGTCCACTACACCACCTATTTTGGGGTCATTACTAACCATACCTCCTATATTCACATCCAGAAACCACAAAAAGCAGCATGCACAGGTAACTTTTCCAGGTCCCTTCATTTTCACACAACTTTATATTGCAATGTCTCAAAGCAGTTCCATTATCAACTCTTTCTTACATTAACACTAGCAGCCATTCCTTTTTAGAAATGGCACCAAGGTGACAGAGAGTTCATGTTTTTAAGATGAGTTCACTGGGGAAGAACATCCCATGAAACGGAGTTCTGGGATAGATAAACAAGGATTTGACCTTGACTGAGTGTTGCAAACTGGCACATTCCAAGGTCCAGGAATGCACACTGGGGGTCGCACTAAAGCTTGGGCAGCTGCCGCCAAGGCACACTGTCTGAGGTTTTCCTGATGAAGTTAAATGGGGGTTTGTTCAGTTATTAGACCCTCCCAGTGCCTCAAATGCATGTAAATATAGTCTTGTATGTGTAAAAGATGCCTTTGGTTTCTTTGGATAGAGTCAAACTCCAATGTTTGTTTGTTTGTTTGTTTCCTTGATATGCTAGGGCACAAAAACAAACTGCATTTGTGACTAAGATTTTTTATGAATGAAGTATAATTTTGAAACAAAAAATATCTGGTTGGTGCTACATTAGCCAGGATCCTGGATGGACATTGGATAAGCTCAGCTATTTGGAAAGGAGCAAAGGAGGAGGAATGTGTGCTTACTGTGATGATGATATATTGTTATTATTTCAAAACTTACAGCATTGAGTTTGCTTTGTATTTTTAGAGTATTTCATTAAAATATTTACTTATTTTGTATTGGGCATGTTAAGGAAGAGGGAGATGTAATTTTAGTTCCATATTTTTTGTTCTGACTGTGGTGCTAGATTGTCCAAAGATTTATTTACATGCATCTAAATAGGATCTTTAAAGTCCTTGAGGTGAACAACTCAGTCCACTAGAAATTAATGTGGAAGAGAAAAGTATACTGCTGTTGTTTAGCACTAAGTGTCCAGTATTACAGAATCCACAAGGTCAGCCACTGTGAAATACATTTAAGGAACCTATGTTAAGCAATATAGAACATTACAGCGCAGTACAGGCCCTTCGGCCCTCGATGTTGCGCCGACCTGTGAAACCAATTTGAAGCCCATCTAACCTAAACTATTCCATTATCATCCATATGTTTATCCAATGACCATTTAAATGCCCTTAAAGTTGGCAAGTCTACTATTTTTGCAGGCAGGGCATTCCACGCCCTTACTACTCTCTCAGTAAAGAACCTACCTCTGACATCTGTCCTATATCTATCACCCCTCAATTTAAAGCTACGTCCCCTCGTGCTAGCCACCACCATACGAGGAAAAAGGCTCCCACTGTCCACCCTATCTAATCCTCTGATCATCTTGTATGTCTCTATCAAGTCACCTCTTAACCTTCTTCTCTCTAACGAAAACAGCCTCAAGACCCTCAGCCTTTCCTCATAAGACCTTCCCTCCATACCAGGCAACATCCTGGTAAATCTCCTCTGCACCCTTTCCAGTGCTTCCACATCCTTCCTATAATGCGGTGACCAGAACTGTACGCAATACTCCAAGTGCTGCCGCACCAGAGTTTTGTACCTCATGGCTCCGAAACTCAATCTCTCTACCAATAAAACCTAACATACTGTACGCCTTCTTAACAACGCTATCAACCTGGGTGGCAACTTTCAGTGATCTATGCACATGGAC